CCAGCAGGGTGACCAATTGGGGGGGCTGATCGATCGCCCCACGGAGGGAGGCCCAGGCCACTGGCCGGAGGGGGCGGGCAATTGATGGGGGGGGGGCGGCTCTGTGATTGCCCCACAGAGGGAGGCCCAGGCCACCCTCTGCAGGGCGATTGATTGGGGGGCTCCGCGGAACCGGAGAACCAGAGGTGTGTGGCGGCAGATGTGGGCAGCGCCAGGCCAAAGCGGGTGCGGGCAGGGGGCGGGGCCGGGAGGCAGCCAGGGCTGTGAGAGCCCCAGCAGGGGGGCTGCAAAGGCCTACCCTTGCATGAATTTCATGCATCAGGCCTCTAGTACTATAATAAAAGGTATGTAAAAGTGGTCTCTCTCAAAATATTTTATTGTACTGTACTCATCTTTTCACTTAAAGCAGTGGTTCTCAACCTTCTGGCGCTTTAAATACAGTTCCTCGTGTTGTGACCCAACCATATATTTTTGTTGCTACTTCATAACTGTAATGTTGCTATTGTTATGAATCATAATGTAAATATCTGATATGCAGGATGGTCTTAGGAGACCCCTGTGAAAGGGTCGTTGGACCGTCGAAGGGGTCGCGACCCACAGGTTGAGAACCGCTGACTTAAAGGAAGCACTTTTAGGGCTTTTTTTTTTTTTTGGCAGCATCACTACTCTTGCATTTTGGGGCCACTGTTAAGTAAAATAAAAGTTACTTGAACACAAGCACTGCAATGCTGGGAGGGTATGCAGCCTGGAGTGGCTGGGTAACGGTATGGTTCACATCCCTGGCTGGACGGAGGAGGATGGTATGAGATTTAATCACGTCACTCAGAATGGCGCACAATTAAAAATTTAAGTTGTTCATTTCTGGAATTTTCCATTTAACATTTTCAGACCACAGTTGACCCAGGTAACTGAAACCATGGAAAGTTGGGTGACGGAATACTCAATCTTCCCTCCTTGTGAATTTACTATAGTTGTACATGCCTCAAGCACTTAAAATCATAGTTGACTAACTTCTTCGGAGATTGTCTGACGTCAGTGCATCAAGATCTAGTAAAGCGCTTTGGCATTTAATACGTGCTGAAATGAACGTTTATTTAACAAAGAAAGATCTACAATGAAGGCTAAATAAATGCAAAATAAAGAACTCAGTACATGGATATCTGCCCAAAAGAAGGCACAAAAATAGAAACGAATAAAGCAGAAAAAAGAAATGAAAGATAGGAGAAACGGTGGCTATCTCTCCCTCTCCTTCCTCTGCCTACGACGGTTTCCCGGTAAAGTTCCAGAAAGGAGTCAGGCGTTACCGGGCGGCATCACCGCCGGCCGAGGCCAGCACCAAGGACGCCAACGGGCGGCTCATTTTCCCGCCTCGCTCAGACAGAGAAGGGGGTGGGGCCCCACGGAAGGCGGCGTTACGTCACATCCGGTTCGAGTCGCGCCTTGGCGGGGAAGGGACTCGGGCGCCGAGGGGCGGGGCCAACAAAGCGCGCGTTTTGAGAGGGGGCGGAGCCGGATTAAAGACGCTGCGTCACATCCGCGAGACTTAGAGCCCGTGTGGCAGCGGTGCGGAGCGGTCGGGTTCTCAGCGGCGTGGAAACTTGTGGTGCTGACAGGCTGCGGCCGAGCCTCTGTGAAGAAGGTGCAAGAGGTTGGCAGCTTCGGTTGAAGCACATCGAGCCGAGCGGCGGCGGCGGCGGCAGCAGCAGCATCGTCTAGGAGTCATGAGCGACAGCGGCGAGCAGAACTACGGCGAGCGGGTACGTAGAGGTGCAGCAGGGGGCGAATGTGTGGTCCCAGTTTCTTGCATCTCTTTTCAGGCCTGTGGGCCTCGGACAGGGAGTTGGGCGACTTCGGCTCCGAAGTCAGGCCGGGAGGAGAGGAGTCGGATTGAAAAAGCGTTTGTGAATAGTTTTTATTCGTGAGGAAGGCCAGAGAGGCAGGTTTAGGTGGCCTCGGACCCGAGTCGGCGGTTTTTTCTGTTATAAGGGGGATTAAAATGGCCGCTGCGTCCCCTCGGTGTTGGGGGAGGGGAGCAGTATCTTATTTCGCCGTTGCTCTCCAGCGAGGCCTCGCCGCCGCCATCTTGGGCTGGCGGGCTGGGCGCGCTTCCAGAGGCACAAAATGGCGGCAGAGCCGCGCGTCCACGAGGGCCGGCCCCGCGCCTCACAGGGCTACTTGGTTAGGAAAAGAAGAGCACGTTCTTTGGGGTCTTACACCGGTATTTGGACTAAGAAAGGGTCGTCTTATGAAGCCCCCCCCCCCCAAAGGATGGAACCTAGGGTGTTCTTGGGGCTTCTTTTAGGGTGGGGAGAACTAATCTGAGGTAGACTAAATTCTCGGCCCGTTAATTTGAGGAGATGGCGCGCGGGCTTTGTGTTAGGCCTAAATGGAGTGCTTTTCTTTTTGGTACCGAAAGGGCTTTCAAACCAAAACTCATCAGAGTATACCAATAGAATAGACCACGAGAAATAACGTTTTCTTATTTTATGGAGTAGATATTTTTCCATGGGATTGTATAGGACAAATTGGCGGGCAACGACGATTTATGGCGCCGTTACTTCCTTTGTTTCAAGGCATTCTAATTCTGTGGACCACTTGTACCTGTTTTTTTTTTTTTTAAGTCTCCACCTCCCCGGTGTGGAGTTCGGTGCGGGTTGATTAGATTTCAGTAGTAAAACAGTTCCCAGGTTTTAAACAGCACGTTATAAAGCTTGGTTGCGGGGTGTAGGCTTTAATGACGATGCAACAATGCAAGGCTTGCCAGAGTCTTGCATGTTTGGAGATTTAGGAGAATTTGTTAGACGAGTGATAAAAAAGCACCACAGAACTTAATTTTTTTAACTTGCTAGAAATAAGGTAGGTGTTTTTACAGTCTGTTACTTAAGATTTTTTTCCCCTTTCAGGTAGAGCCACCTTAAAATCAGTCTAAGTAATTGACAGGTAAATCTCAAATATCTTAGCAGACGCGTGTAAAACAGATTCGAGGTGGTTTAAAATATCTTAGCTCCTGGCACATTAGTGAACTTACTGTGTACCATTGGAGCCAAACCTGTTTGATTTGGTTTGAACTAATCAGGTCTCCCTTATATATTCAGGTGAATGTTTCTTAGGGTAAGAAAGTTTGAATTGTGCTCACAAATTGTGAAAGCTGTGGCTTCTAGTTTCTACTAGTTGAATATACTTTGGAAACTAGTCACTGGTATTTGTATTGGAAAGCAAATGACAATTTTTAGTCCTCAGTGATTGAACAAAACAATTACTGGGTACTTCTGCACTGTTTAGGGACAACAAAACGACTGACTAGCTTAGTTGAATATTCCTGGAAGAGTTACTAAGATCGTGAGCTTGTGGAGATGAAAATTTGCCTAAAAGAAAATAAGTTAGTATGTTTTACATAAGGGAAACAGTTGCGGTTAGGTTCAGGTTTGAGACAGCTGAAGAGGTGTCATCTTATTAATTAGAATTTTTTTGAAGCAGGCATATTTTCTTCTAGTAGAGTATACATCCTAGTGTTTTCCATAATGCTATTACATAGTCTAGGTATTCACTAAATTATTATGGAAAGAGAAAGATATAAAATAACTTTAAGCTGCATATTAGAAGAAAAAACTTTATTACTCAGGAGTCATGACTTCCTGGAAGAAATTTCTAAACTTGAAGTTGTGGGATACTTCCATTTTATTTGGTTTGGTGTTTTGTATGTTTGCTTTCCAACTGGTGGTTGGAACCTGAAGTTGTTAGAATAGACCTAAAACATGTGTTTGGACTCCCAAAGAATGCTTGGCAAACCATAAAGGTCAGTGGAACAGTTAAATAAAATACCATAAAAAGGGCTGGGAGGTAGAACAGTCAGGTCTGATTAGCAAAAAACTTCGTTTTGAAACTGCCTGAAAGCAGTGAAAAAGTTGCTTTCAGGGCAGTAATCTTGGACTTGCCTGTAGCCTCTTTGTGGAGCCTGAAAAATTTTTTCATTTCACTCTAGGCTCTCAAACATTCCAAACTGATCATGTAAATAAACACTCATACAAATCTCAATTCCGCTGTAATCTTACCCCTCATTTATATAAATCTCTAATCCACTCTCACAACCCCCAAAGTAACTCCAGAAATTTTTTGCCCCTAATCCTTTAGACATTGGAAGTAGTTCATCTCCTAAATAGAAATGTTGTGTGTGTATGCAGTAATAAATTATTCTCTTAGAACTAATATAGTGTGTCTCCCCTTGTCTTATTTTAAATGTGTATGTTGGGTGTGTTCTTGAATATTTGTGGTTTGTGTCACTTTTATGGCAGAATCTACCTTTTACCTTTACCTGGGATTTTTATGTCAAAGTGTATTTAAATTCAAGAAATGTGTCTCTGATTAGATTTGAGATCCCTGATCCTGGCCAAACCCATGCAAAAGTAAAATGTTTTTTGTTTTTGTTTTTTGTCTTTTTTTATGGTCTCCAAATTAAAGTATCCTCCAGAATTTCCAAAACTTGCCTGCAAACTTTTTTTTTTCCTGCAAAGGGGCTGACATCTTTGCCATAAGAGGCACTTATGTCACATTTGGTAGAATATTGGCTTTTTTTGTAGACCTATTTGCAATATAGGAACTAGTCTTAACTTTCTTTAGACATGAATAGTGTCTGGATACATACCATCACATCAAGCTGCCCTTCAGATTCTGCATTGTTTTCTGTTTAATCCTGAATTCTTTGTGTATTCTTTGCTTTTAACCCCAAATTCTAATTTTTATAATTGAAACATCTCAATCTAATTCTTTTCTAGAAAATTGTAGCTATTGTACCAATTTCCTTTAATAAAGGGTTGAATTTATGGAGTGGGAGGAAATAGTTTGCTTTGTTTCGTTATGAGTGATTAGGTATGAGTCTCTTGAAACCAGGTTAGCTAAGAATATTTTAATTATGTGGATAGTGTCTGAAACTAGAAAGTGACATTGTGAAACTGAAATTCCAAGTGATAAGGTAAGTAATACTGGTTTTGTTGGGGGGAAATGGAGAGGAATTAGATGGTGAGAGATGTTACATGGAATTCCCCTTGTACATCCAATTCCCATTTATGGCTGATAAAACCCCAAACCTAAGTGATGAGTATTTTTATAGTTGACGTTTTTGCCCAAGAGTACCGAACTACAATTGTCTGTATCTTTTGCACTTTAGCACTGTCATTTGTTGATACATTTTTATACATAAATTGTATTATCTCACAGTGTATAGTGATGGGGTGGTGATTAGTATTTAAAAAATTTAAGTGTTTTACCAAGGTTAGTTTTGTGTGGTGTGGGCCACATGGAATTAGGTATTGTCTGTTTTGTTTTTAAGCTGCAAGCCACAAAAGTTCTTAACTACAGCAAATTAGTCTTCAAGTTCCCCCAAATCTTTGCTTTGAATTGGATTTTGGGAGTTATTTTCAGATTGTTAACTTTTATCAACATAGATGGTCTAATATGATAGCATGAGATGAGGTCCCTCTTTTGCATTGATTTTTGTGCTTAGGTATTAGATGAAGAATAGGTAGTCTTCTGAAAGTAAAAAGGCATACTTAAACTTGCTTTTGCTGGAAAGTACTGAATGTTTTATGAATGTAAATTTTAGAGTACTGTTTTTGCAAGAGATCTCAAAAGCATGGGCCGAAAACTGATGGAGGCATGTCAGATAGTGGGTTTTTTCAGAGCATATTCTCAGTTTGAGGATTTTTCTATTACCCAATCTTCTGGTAGAGTGGCTGCAAAAAAACTAAATAGTCTTTATAGTGATATGAAAATTGACCATAATAGGTTTGATTTGCTCCCTCCCAATTTTTAAAATATTAACCTTGCAATCAGCCTGATGAGTTTGCACGTTTTTAATGTTACATGAATTCCACTTGTAACCTCTAGAATCATTTTAACAGAAAATTTGTTGACGGGATGGGACAAGTTTCTGCTTATTTCTAAGTAGGATCTCTTCGAGTAATTAGCTCAATAGTTGGTCTTTTGGTTTTATAAAGTGGCCACTTGGTAGCTAAGTTGAAATAAACCTCTTATTTACATTATTTAGTAGTGTATCTTACAGTTCAAATACAAAAGAGGAAAGGTTGGGAAGGAGTAATAACAGCAGGAAGGCGTCCATATTGATAAGTTGTGATATCTAGAGCTTTGGCTTCCATGCCAGTATCTTCTGCATCAAAGTCCTGTATCTGTACATACTCTTTAGGAGCCCTAGGAGGAAACCTGCTTGGGCATTCTGATTCCACGATTACATTTGTGCTGCTAGCAAACAGTTCCCATTACATTTTAGTGATGGATACTAAAAGAAAATTAACTACTGTGACTCCCTTAAATGAAAACCTATTTAAAAATTTTCCTGGGTTAAGTAAACAATAATTGACTTTTTAAAACTATATTGAAATTAGGCTTACTTTCTTAGAAAAGACAGCACTTCCACAAATAGCCATGGCAGTCTTTATGCCCAGATAGGTATAAAGACTTTTTTTTTTTTTAAGAAAGTTTTATTTTTCCCAGAAAGAAAATAAAACTAGGAGAGGAAATTGTTGACAGTAAAACAGAAGACGTAAGATGAAATGCAGGAAAACTGGGATGTTTTATGAGGACAATATTTTGTTTAGGGTATTGAACAGACACTAGTATATTGATGTTAAATATTTTTAGTAAATTCAAGAGGTGAGCTATACTTTTCCCCATATTGCCACCTTTAAAAAAGTAAAATTTCTCCTTTGGACTGCAGAAGGTTTTAATTGTTCATTGAGGGGGGCGAGTTTACAACATTATTTGAAAATACCAATGATGCACTCTAATTTGTTCTGCTTTCCTTCACTTGAATGTAGTAGTTGGTTGACTTGGTTTTAGTTCTAAATTTAGTAATTGGACCATTCAGAATATAAAAACTTACTAGAGCAGTTTTCTAGGGATAGGTTGAACACTTAAATATAATCCAAATTTTCAGATTCCCTGACATTGTCTTTCTATAGAACTCTTTAGACATATGGTACAAAAATGTGTGACATTAAGTACATTTCTTGACCTTATAAGACAAGTCACAATTTGTAAATCTCTCCTACCCTGAGCCCTGTCATTGTACAAATGAATTGTTCATGCTTTCCTTTCTTGCACTTTTGTATTTACGTGTCACTTTTTGACTGGAGTTGTGCTTTTGACACTTAACATATTTTCAATTGATGGATAAAATAAGAAGTGTGAAATATAGTTCTTAAAATGTTAGATGAACAGTAAATGTTCAGTAGCGCACTTCACATTCAACTTAAGCATGACAAATGAGATTGATTACCATATATATTTTAGAACTAGCAGGAGACTGTAGTTTCAGGTTTTTGAGCTGCATATTCTAGGTGTTTTTAATTATTTTTTTAATCCAAAACAAGGGATTTTTTTTTTCTAGTTTCAGTTTTGGCACTGGATTTTATCCTGGAGTTTTAAAATATTCTTCATCCTGTTCTTTTTCTATTAAGGTTAATGTTGAAGAAGGAAAATGCGGAAGTCGTCATTTGACAAGTTTTATAAATGAGTATTTGAAGCTCAGGAATAAGTGAAGCTGAAATTTGAAAAAATTAAAGAATGCATGCTAATTATCAGACCAGAAGTCCCACTTGTAGAATATTGAGCAATTTGTGTGAAGTGGGGAAGATGAAAGAAGTCAGAATTTGAAACGGAAGAATGAAGAAAAGAAATAAAAATGAAGTTAAGATAAGAAGTAATCTGGAATCAGAAAGCACTACGCTAAGTAATTACTAGTCTGTTTATGTGTCCCTGTATATTTTGCTAAACATGCATGCATTATTTGTTTAATAGAAGGAAATATATACAGGGTAAAGAAGTGCCTTCCAGGGGGAACGTTTAAATTAGGTAATTCTAATTTTAACTTCTTAGTCAAATTATATTGAAATGCGACTTTTTTAAAAAAATAACCCTTTGTAGTCAAATACCAGGCAGGAATGAGCTTTCCAGCATGGGTAAAAGTTGGCTTCATGTTGTTTCTGCTGCTCCTAGGGACATGAATAAGTACCTCCAGAGTTGGAACTGGTGGTCTCTGCCACCCCCCTGGACTTTTACTATGCACTGACCCCTATCTTAAGTACTAAGCAAATATACAGGGTGGGGCAAAAGTAGGTTTACAGTTTTGAGTATGCAGGAAAGTTTGTATTTTTTTCCATAGGAACAGCTGTAAACCTACTTCCCCCTACTCCCATATAATAGGATGTTGTCATAATTTCCCTAAAGAATGTCACGAGAGTGGTTATAGAACCAAGCCCTCAAAATCCAAGCAAAGCATTGAACAGGATACTTTTGGCATTTATGAAAACAAATTTCCTTACAGATGGCAATAGTGGAAAGCTATGACCACTTTGGTCCTAACTTTAAGGTGCATGTGTGCTAAATTCACAAGGATGATTCTTAATTCTTTTCTGTTTAATGCTTATTCCAGCTGAATGACAAGGGTTACTGCTAAAAATACCGTGGCTTCCCTTAGAATAAGGTGGGTCACACATAAAAGGGAACAGGATATCTAACTCAAAATGGCAATAGTAGCAGGTGCTTCATTCCAAAATCAGCTTTATTTCTTTTTCTCATTTTCTGCTATTAACACTTAGCTATTATAATGATGTAAGAGGTATAGGTTTATAAAGTAGCTTTCTTCTGGTTCTCCACTCCCACCACTTATGGGAGCATAAATCTAAAAGTTCTGTCATTTTCCTTTCTGTATGTTTTGTTGTAGCTGAATAGAAGAGTCAGATGATTGTAATGATGTTGCCTTCAGTTGGATGGAACAAGTACACATCAAAGTAATACTCAATGATAGCCAACCAACAGCTGTCTTCTACCCTATTGGAGAAGCCAAGGTTATCACTTCTCCTTTCTGAAATGAAAAACCCAAAAACTTTTCCTCTCACCCGAAACCTATATAACTATTAACCAATCTTACCCCAATAAATTGAATTACAGCTTTAAAAAACTACTCAGAGTTGTTGGGTCCACTGTTCATGGAAAAAGTGGCTTAAGTTGCATTTCTAGAGGGATCCCATTTTCTGAGATGTTAGGGCCTATCGTCAGTGTGAAATTGGCCTTTTTTTATAGTGTTTATTTCTGTATCTTGCAAGGAGAAGAAAATTATTACCATTTATAGGAGACAATTTCCAGCATTTGCCTTGCCCCATTACTGCTTTGTAAAAAAAAAAAAATTCCGCCTACAAACTAATAATTAAATTCATTATGTAACTTTGCATCCTGAATTACAAATAGGCAGAGAGTTGAGGTGAAAGTGATATGAGTGGATATTTCTGTTCAAGCCCTGGGTTCTTTTATTAGGAGGCTGAAAGGTTCTTGAGGTCCAAAAGAGAAAAGACTTAATTAGCCCTCAAGGAGGGGTTGGGGGGGGGTGCAGTTTAAGGTTTGATTAAATGGCCCAAGGTAGATAAAGGGCAAAAATAAACATTGATGTTAGACCACCTTACCCATTAAGGTATTTTGTTTCCCCTTGGGGGTGAAGTGGGCAGGCCTCTTGTCCTGAGCAGTAAGGTAAGGCTGATTAATGTGAGGGAGGGGTGCAGGTGAAGCAGAGATAGCACCAAGTTCCAGGAAGATGCCTTTGTCGAGAAAAAAAAAGGTGGGATGCATAACACTTCAGAGGTTGGCTAAGTCAGTGAGACTTAACTAGCATCATAAACATGTATGGTGCTTTTAAGAAATGAAGATACCTAATTCTAGACAATAGTTAAAATCAGCTCCAGATAGGGGACTTGTTTTTTTAAATACTGTAGGTCTACAAGAGTCAGTTTTAAATCTAATTATTGCATCCAGTCTTTAAAAAATAATACAGAAGAAACCTAGCAATTGGGTGGTTATTCCCACTTCTGTCACCTTTCAAAGGTTTTTTAAGCTGCTGCCTTCTCAGAATAGGGGAATGAGAAATAAGGTGTTCTGTTGGAAGGCTAACTTTTTTTCCTGATGTGTTTCCTGTAGGTTGTATGTTACTATGTGACTGACATCCAATTCATAACAACTGAATTCTTCAAGAGGTTTTCAGGGAATTTTTGTCTTTGTTTTAATATGTTCATCTTAGTTCATGATTCTTCTCCTTGAGGTACAGATGTTCAGAGTAGTGCTTCTTTTGGTAGGATTTAATGTTGACACCAGTTGTTTGTCAGCTGAGAGTAGACTTGAAATTTGCCTTGTGTAGAGGGTTTTCCCAGCTGGTTTTACAGATTTGCCTGTGGATTAAGGTTTAAAGTTAACTCTCTGCTTTTAGATTTGGCTAATAATTTAATTTTAGATCTTATTTCTTCTAGACAGGCTAAATTTCCTTGCATGTATTTCCAAGCCAGCTAATGGCCAACATAACTACAAAGGGGTTTAACTTCTTTAAGGATATTCCTGGTGAGAACAGTTGGTGCAGGTATTGTTTAGATGTTAACCTAACCAAGTTATCAGTATAGAAAGGGAAATTTTTGCATTCTGGTGTTTTCCCCCTTTCCTGGTTAAAGAAATAATTGCCCACAAAATATATATGCCAGGTAGTTTCAGAGGCTGCGTGAATTCTTAAAATTCTTGATCTGTTAGAATTTCATGGGGGAAGTCTCAATATGGCTTAGAATTACTATCTCTTCTCTTAGTGAACAGACTAATAAAAAGCATTTCAGCTTAGAATAAGGCTGTTCTGTTTAATAAAGCAAGAGGCTTTTTAAAGAAGGGGAATCTTGACCCTCTCTTTCTACTTAGATCCCTATGCTGACTAGTTTCAATTAACTGCATAACTTTGTTGGTAATCTTTTTAACTCTTACTGTGAAGCACCTATATTCTGCTTCCTTTCAGAGCATGTTTTCTTCTTTGGCTTCCATTAAAGGTTATAATTGTTCCATGACGTAATCATTCTGGTAGTGAAGTAAACAAAGGCGTTTAGTAACTTGGGTCTCCATTACTATCTTCTATGTTAGATGTTGCCTGTGGTAGAAACTAAGCCCTCATTTTTGAAAATTACTTTGTCCAAAAGTACCATCTATTTCTTTGACTTTGTTATCACTCCTAGAGGGAAGGAGTGGAAAGTTTCACATTTCATCTCACATCACACCATATTTTATGATTTTGAAGTGTTGGGAAAGTTTCTAAAGTTGTTATGGCCTAGAAACCAGAACTCATTTTACAGGCTGAGTTAACTCTTTTCTTCCCTATTCTAATCTTCAATTTTTAATTTGTCTCATTGTATATAAATTTTTTCTCTGGGTGTCATAGGAAGGATCCTCCAAATTTTCTCCATTGTGCTGTAAATCTAGAACGTAGTCTAAAATGTTTGAGGCTGTAATTTAAAAATAATCCTGTTCTATTTTTTTCAAGAATATTCTAAAGATCTACCACACAGGGAGGTCCCTAACTTTTATCCAGCAGCTTCAACATCCATTCTTCCCTCCACAGTAATGTTGGTTCCTTTTGAATCTGGCCATTTTTATTCTATCTTGGGTGGAAAAACTCACTGAACTTTATTTATGCCTTTTAATTTGCCTAACATTTGGTAACTTGAAATAAAGGTTGTCTTGTTTGATGATGCCTTAGATGTCAGTAGTGTAAGTGTGGGTGTTCTCTTATCCAATTTTCTATTTCTTCATTTGGCAGAATGTTTCTCTGGTTCCATTACTACTTATACATGTATGCCTTTTCTGCTGATTAGTTGGTCTTTGGTGAACTGCTGGTTATCCTATTTATCCATTCCATTGATAGTTTTGTTCTGAGAGAGATCTTCCTTTTGTGCCACTTACCTACTGGCTAATCCTAGTTTTGATTGGGAAAGCTATGGGTATATAGTATATACCTAGACTTCGGTTTTACATATAATTCCTAGATTCCCTTTCTAAGCCTAGGTTAGAAGCTCCTAATTTAATATTCTGGTTTTAATAGGTACGTTAGATAGCTTTTCTAACTTCCCATTTGCCCTGGCTCATCTCCATTTAACTGAGGAAGCTGTAGTTCTCTGGCACCCTCTCTATTCTTTTACCTTCGCACAATTCACTACCTTTCTGCTGTAGCTCCATCTGGTTTATTTCTGGGTCTTCCAAGGCCTCCCACCATGATTAGATGGAACAGGGTCTTAACTGTCTGGTGTCCTTCAAGCTGGTCCTTGCTTTCCACTAGGCTTCTACATTTCTCTAGGATTTGAAAAAGGTTGTCCTTGTCTCTTTTCCCACTGAAGAACAATTTGAAAAGTTGAGGTCTTAATAAAAAATCAAAAGCATTTTAAAAGTAAGTTTTATGAATTTCATAGGGTTTTGTTTTTATTGATGGTAACTTGATTGAAATAGGTATAATGGATAGAAGTCATAGTTATTTTTAATAAGGTTGTTTTTCACCCTAATCTTTATGGAGTAACATTCCCTAAACACAATCCTTGGACAGTCCCTCAGCTGCTTGGCTTTGACACCCCTTTCTGAAGAAAGTGGATCAGTTAACTTATTCCTGCTCCAAAAAGGTGGAAGTTCAAGTTAATCGACATATGTCAATTGGAGCAATGCAATTGTACTGGGTATATTCAGTTCCTGCCCTTATATTTTCTTACCTTGGAAGGGGATTGCTTTCCCTCACCATTTATTTCACAGCAGCTTATTTGTTTTAAAGTTGCCCAGAAAGTATACAAATTAAACTTTTGACATCTACGTGTAGGAATCCCGTTCTGCTTCCAGAAGTGGAAGTGCTCATGGATCTGGGAAATCTGCAAGGCATACCCCTGCAAGGTCTCGCTCCAAGGAAGATTCCAGGCGTTCCAGATCAAAGTCCAGGTCCAGATCTGAATCTAGGTAAGAAAGACTGTTGCTCTTAGCTTTGAAATTGGTGTGAACTTTGTAAACTAGGAAGATAGAGAGGATTTGATTATTTGTTGGCCTGTATAATCCTTAGTAGAAATTAAGTTAATCATAAGTTCTAGAAGACCGAAGACTATTTAATCGTTAAAGGCCTGGGCTTTTGAGTTAGGCCTCAAATCTTACCTGTTTTTTTCTGGTTTGGACAGATTATTTAACCTTTTTCCACCTTAGCTTCCTTATATAAAGGCAAGTTAGTAATAGTACCAGTTCTTCAGAATTGAGTATAAGTAACCTTCTTATTGCAAATATACTGCAGAACATTGGCTTTCAGTAACTGCAATTTTTGATTAATAGGTGTAGGCTAGTATTATATTGAATGTATGTATAAAGCAAAAGTAATAACATGTACTTTTTTTTTAATGTTGGTCAAAAGTATGCCATACATCCTGGTTGCCCAGGACAGCTCCATTATATGCCCGTTATGAAGCATCATTAACCGTACCTTTTCTCTCTTATAATGTGTCCATCCTGATTTAGATGACGATTCATATCATCACTCTCTATCTAGTTAAGAGCAACTGGTTGCTTTTAAAACACAGCAGAGGGAGCTACTATGATGGTGATTTTACCTTAAGTGAATGGTGGGCATAATGGGAGAAGCAGAAAAATAGGGTGGTATTCTGAGAGGGAGACAAATTAAGCTAGTATGGATGCATGTTTCCTGATTTTCAAAAGATGATTGAATGTGTTCACTTTATTTTTTTAATAAGAAAGGTTGGAAGAGAGTTAATGGTTTTGGAACTCTAACAGTTGAATTGACTATTAATACAGAAAAAAGGTATCAATTCCACTCATTTGGTATCATGCTAGTATATGCCTGGATTGTGTTCTGTCTTCTGGAGTTTAACTCTAGAGTATTAAAAAAAATTGTAAGCCATATTTTGTCAGCTATTTAGTCATGACCTTTCGAGCCTTTGTTTTGCAGGTCTAGATCCAGAAGAAGTTCTCGAAGGCATTATACAAGATCACGATCTCGGTCTCGCTCCCATAGACGATCCCGAAGCAGGTCTTACAGTCGAGACTATCGGAGGCGTCATAGCCACAGTCATTCTCCCATGTCTACTCGCAGACGTCATGTCGGGAATCGGGTATGATGAAAAATATTCTGTGTTTTTGAAGCAATAGACTGTCTAAAACCACTTAATTTAATAGTCCTATCTCTTTTTGAAGTTAGAAATGATTTTGACAATGGAGCATTAGCAGAGAGTTACCTCTTTGAGGCTTTCTAGTGTTTTGAAATAATCTTTTTTTAAAAGATATCTCCCAGCCTGGCCAGGTAATTTAGTTGGTTTGAGTGTCTTCCTGATATGCAAAGGTAGTGGGTTCAATCCCAATCAGGACACATAATAAGAATCACCTAATGAATGTATAAAGTGGATCAACAAATCTGTTCCCCTCCCCCTCCGTTGCCGCCTTTTAAAAAGTTAAATAAATGAAAAGGTGTCTCCCATGTATGGTGTACATTTGGACTAGCATTCATATTTAAGTTAAGCACATTGTCACATTTATAATTCAGCCCATCAAATAATACTCCATGTGCATTACTGTTATAATATTAGTACATTAGATCACATAGCATCTATGTATCTGTTCCATACTTATGTTACTTAAGTTTTCTGTGTTGGTTATTAATACCTATTACATAATGCTTTCCCATTTAATTGTAAGCAAGTTTCTTTGGGGTAGGAAGGCTTTTTCTTGTCTTCCATGAGGGTTCCAAATGAGATGGCATTTAGTGTATTTATATTGTGATTTCATTGTATAATCCAAATGGTTTTGTAGGGTGTGTGTTTGTTTCTGAGAGTGGAGTGGAATTTGGAGTAAATGAATGAAAACGGGGTAAATTCATTATGGCAACTGGAATGTCATCAAGATGTGGTTCACTTTTTATAATGATTGCAAGCAAGCTGTTTAATATCTGTTAACAGTTGAGTGCACATCTTTGACTTCATTTGTGTGTGTATGTGAATAGTTTGTTTCTAAAAATAGGATCAAGCCTAGCATTCCCTATATTTTAATTCAGCATTTTTAGTTTATCATGTATTTCTCTGGCTTGTAGAGACAATGCTATTCTGATTGTGTGTACATATTATGAATGTGTGAACTTTTTATGTTTTTATTTTTAGAGAGGAAGGGAGAGGGATAGAGATAGAAACATGGGTGAGAGGGGCATCGATTGGCTGCCTCCTGCATACCCTCTACTGGGGATCAAGCCTGTAACCTAGGCATGTGCCCTGACTGGTGACCTCTTGGTTCCTGGGTCAACACTCAACCACTGAGCCACACAAGCCAGGCTATGTGAACATTTCTTAAAATAAATTCCTAGAAAGTGAATCATTCAAAATTGCCCTCTAATCTCCCCCCAAAGAGTTAGTTTGTTTTTTAATAGTATGTGCCCCTTACCCCCCTCTACTTAATTCTAAGATTAAAATTGCTCCTGTTGTAATTCTTTCTGACCGTTTGTTTGTTTTAGTTAATCACCTGGGATATCTTTTCCATTGATTTTTGTTTGTTTCTTTGTTTGTTTTATAGAGAGGGTGGAAGGGAGGGGGAGAGACAGAGGGAGAGAAACATCGATGTGAGAGAGACACATCCACTGGTTGCCTCCCGCACACGCCCCGACCGGTGCCGGTGATCAAGCCTGCAACGGAGGTACGTGCCCTTGATCGGAATCTTAACCGGTCTGTGGGTCGATGCTCTAACCACTGAGCCAAACCGGCCAGGGCCTTTCTGCCCATTCTTAAACATGCTTGCAGCACTTGCTGTAACACGTGCATTTTTAAAATGTTTATTTAGTCTGTTTACTTTTATTCGTAGTGACACTTTTGGCTAATTTGTTTATGCTGTTTCCTTTTTATTTGATTTATGGCAAAGTTTTAAAATCTACTTTTCTATTTTTAGGCAAATCCTGATCCCAACTGCTGTCTTGGAGTATTTGGATTGAGCTTGTACACTACAGAGAGAGATCTAAGAGAAGTATTCTCTAAATATGGCCCCATTGCTGATGTGTCTATCGTATATGACCAGCAATCTAGACGTTCAAGAGGATTTGCCTTTGTATATTTTGAAAATGTAGATGATGCCAAGGAAGTAAGTAAAAGCCTGCCTATACCTTGTAAACTTCCAAGTATTTTAGGAAGGACAACTTTGGTTTTAATATTGTAAATAGGATGTGTAAATGTAGCTTGAGTTACAGGAAATGCAATCTTCTGGAAAAAGATTGAAACCAGTAAAACCAGTAATACTTATGAACTTCTTCAACCTTTTATTATGGAAAAATTCAAATATATACAGAATAATAAAGTGTGACTTAGGGCAACTGGTTATATTATGCCCCACTTCAGTATACTTCTGGCCTGCTATACCTCTAACTCAGTCACCCAACATCACCACCACATTATTTTGAAGTAAAACCTGAGGGCAGCACTTCATACATGACTGGTTCCAGATATGATATACATACTAGGTATAGTTATTGAAGGTTAATACTCTATAGACTATTTCATCAGTGTTTACATTGAACCATTTTCTACAATGAAGAATATTTAAAATTGATAGTTATGACTCAAAAAGGATCTGGTTCATATTTAAATGTTAATTGACTTCAGGCAGAATGTTGGAAGTAAAAAAAATTAGTATGTTGACTAAAAGTGAACATGGACAGCGTGAATATGGGCCATATTTTAAGAATTTGGACTTTATTTGTATATGGATAATAGCTGGAGTCATCTCCAAGGGATGGTATAAAGAAGAGAAAAGCTTGGAAACAGTGATAAACCATCTTAGGTCAATATTGAGATTGGGAATTCAGTTCTAGGTAAAATTATATGGTTATTTATGAAAACTGTACTTATTTTTGAAAACCATAAGAGTAACCTGAACTGCTAAAGGAAGAATGGAAAGCTAAATGCAAGTAATTAGGATAGACTACAATTTAAGATATTTAAGAGATTTCCAAAGATATAAATAGGGTTTTTCCCATGGTTACTAGTAGCATAGGCCTTATTTCCCTAATTTTCTGCTACAGTACACAGCTTTCTGAAGAATAGCATACTAATATTTTGTATCTGAATCAGTAGTGCCAGAAACTTATCTTCTGAGGGCTTAAACTTTCAAACAAAAAAGCATAATTGGAAGTTAAAATCTACTTATGGAAAGGGTGTTCTTTAAATGGTGGACAAACAGCTAAGTCTTTGGAATAGGGTTTTTTATTTTATTTTTGCTTTGAAGTTTCATTGCTGTATATTCTAGATGAAGGAGCTATATGTAGCTGTCTTCATTCCAGCTTTTTGCTTCCATAGCAGGGATCCATCAACTTTTTTGTTAAAAATTACTAAATATTTAAGGCCTTGTGAGCCATTAGGGGACTTTCAGTCACAACTTTTCAATGCTGTTATTGTAATGCAAAAGCAGCAATAGAATCTGTAAATTCTCATGGCTGGGACTTCACATTTGTGGCCATTGAAATTTGAATTTCATATACATTTATGAAATCTTATTCCCAGCCATTTCAAATCATAACTAATGGTTTGTCGGATATGTATTGCTTTAGAGCTAGAAGCACTGTAAGTTGTTAAAAATAACAATTCAATTACCTGATTTAAATTGACTTTGTGGCTTTTTTGATAAGCTTTTCTCCTGAGTTTTATGACTACCTTTTAAAAATTTAATAGGAGAAACAACGTAAAGTTGTGGGCCATGATGTTCTATCAACATTGAAATAAATTAATGCATCTAACTGAAACATCCAGTCCGACTTTATTTTTTAACTACTGGATAGTTTGTGACTATCCAGGATGTATATAACAACTGTGTGCGTGTGTGTGTGTGAATTAATTAATTTATTTATTTATTTATTTATTAGGCAAAAGTTATTAGGCAAAAGAGCGTGCCAATGGAATGGAGCTTGATGGACGTAGAATCAGAGTTGATTTCTCTATAACAAAAAGACCACATACCCCAACACCAGGAATTTATATGGGGAGACCTACCTAGTAAGTTTATTTTCAAGATAGAAATTTTATTGATTTCATTTGTTCACTTCCTCCATGTGCTATGGGGAAATTTTTGGCATTTCATCTAATCTTGCCATGGTATAAATAATTTTCCTTTTTTTCTTAACTAGCTAAAACTATTTGGTAATATATATTCTGTGGAAACATTCTGATTGTGGCACAAATTCTGATTGACACCATTACATAGATCCCATCCCACTGTATCATAAAGAAATACCATATATTCAGCTTTGCTTGGGTAATTAAATGTTTCTGATTTGGATAATTTTCCCCAGAATGGAAACTTAACCATTATAGTTAAAATCAAGTTTGTGTAAATCATACTCGAGTGCATTCTTTAGTTTTTGTTTCCTTAAGCAGAGTGGAAAACATGGACTGAACTAATAATAAGACAGTTCTCATGCAGAAAACTCTAATTTGGAGTCATTTTTTAAAACTTAAATATAAAGATCTTATATAAGGCAGAGAATTGTACCATAATTGCCATGTTCTAATAGGCTGAACTCCCAGTCTCAAACTGCATTCTCCATATGATTTTTTTTTTTTTGAGTGAAAATGTGGAATTGGCAAATTGGCTGAAGTTGAAAGCATGTTAGTAGAATATGTGTGCTCCCCCTTTTTTAAAGAACACATTTCTTTGTTTTGTTTTTTTTTTAATTGAAGGGGAAGGGGGAGGGAAAGATAGAAACATCAATGATGAGAGCAAATCATTGATGGGCTACCTCCTGGGCGCCTCCTACTGCATATCAAGCCCACAACCCAGACATGTGCCCTTGACCAGAATTGAACCTGGGACCCTTGAACCTGGGACCCTTCAGTCTGCAGGCTGACGGACGCTCTATCTACTGAGCCAAACCAGCTAGGGCTATTACAAATTTTTAAACTCTTGGTAAGAAGCCGCATGTACGGTTTTGCTCAGTGGACAGAGCATTGGCCTGCGCTTGTGGGCTGAAGGGTCCCAGGTTCGATTCAGGTCAAGGGCACGTGCCCGGGTTGCGGGCTCAATCTCTAGTAGGAGGTGTGCAGGAGGCAGCTGATCAATGATTCATCATTGATATTTCTATCTCCCTCTCCCTTTCTCTCTAAAATCAGTAAAAAATATATTAACAGCAAAAAGTCATGTCTAGAAAAATAGGGAAGGCTACTTGGTATTTTATAAAGATTTAATACTATTCACAGTGGCAGCTCACGCCGTCGTGATTACTACGACAGAGGATACGATCGAGGCTATGATGATCGGGACTACTATAGCAGATCATACAGGTAAGTTAACCATAATAAAATGTGAGTTTTAAGTTGCCAAAGACTTGAAGGAAGCAACAACTTTTCTGAATCTCAGTTGCAACTTTTTTTCACCCCTCCTAATTATAAGAGAAAGTTTATGTAAAAGGTTACAGAGGTAGTAGCCCTTGAGGCTTAGGAGAGAGAAAAGCAGAGGTAACATGCCTGGGGAGAAAGGGAAAACGGAAAGGTGGGTGCAGGTGCCCTAGAAGGGAGAGTGCACCTCAGTTGCAGCATAACTTAAGCATAACTTTTGTCATTTTTAATAAAAGCATTACTTTTTTATACCAAGATAACCAGAGCTAGTTTTTAAACCAGATTTTTAGGTTTTGTCTCTTTTTAAATTAATCTGTATACTTTGAGCATGGCGGAAACAATTACAGACCATACTTCAGTTTTTCCTCCTTTTTTTAAATACTGTTTTTAAAGCAAAATAAACTGCTTTGAAAGTTAATGCTTTATAAAGCAGAGTTGTGGGGGATTTTTGTATATCTAATGTATCGTGCACTAAAAGGCAGGTAAAGGTGATTCTTGGAAGAGTCCATAAAAGTATTTATATAAGAAAAATAGTAACAATTTGTTCATTACCGAACTTCAAATTTTTATGGGGTTGGTAGAGTTATGCCTATCATACTTGAAAAACAAAAGATCTTTTTGAGAAAAGATCAAAACAAAGTACAAGTTTCCTTTGTTTTAGCAGCAGCAATAATTGAGACCCTGCCTTGTCAGAATGTAACTTCTGTAATAAGTATTGCCACAGTAATCCATGATACCTTATCTTGGTGTGATGTTGGGGTATAGATACCTTCTTTAAAAAAAAAAACGATTTGATAATGTTTTATGAAATTGACAATTGTTGGTGTCTTAATATCTATGGAAGTGAGGCCATAGGGTGCTTCTGACATTGTCCAGCATCTTATTTTGGACAACATTTTATTTAGAGTATTTTTGCATTAAATAGCACTTGAGGGATTGCTTATGGAAGCTGAGGATATTAAAGTGGTAGATTTGGTCTTCGTTTTAATTAATTTGAGCATTTACTTAGAGATATTCTTTGTTCTAATGATACTTGTTTTAGCCACCAGAGAGCTCTATGCCAAGGAATGGCAAAGGTAGCTCTTTATCATTTTACTTACAAGAATCTAGCTTTCATATCTCACATGTTTGTTTTACTTCATGAATTGAAAATTCTTTCAAAAACTCATAAAAGTTAATGAATTTTTGCCTTTACAGAGGAGGTGGTGGAGGTGGAGGAGGATGGAGAGCTGCTCAAGACAGGGATCAGATTTACAGGTATGCCAGAGAGGGTTATAAATCTTACAACAGTAGAAACAGCTCACATGAAGACTCCATTACTAGTCTTTTGGTAGTTAAATTATGTGGCATCGCACAAGATTGGATTGCATGAAGTTCATTAAATGTTGTAACTGACCCCAAGTGATGTGGCCATGGCTTTGTGCATTTGCAGAAATTGGTTAAGCTTTTACTCAGTGGTATCATTTTTGTACTTGAATAAGATAATGATGGGTATAAGGTCATTGATTAGGACCTATAATATTTTTAGTATCTATTCGTGATAGCTGTTCTCTTTTGCTACATTTTCTTTGTTGGCTGTTAAACACTTAAGTCAGTCTTAACAAATTGAAATCACTTTGATACACTAGTGAAATTTATTTTGAGGGCGTGCTTGGGATTAGTGGAAAAGACTTATTTTCTCATATTTAGTAGTATTTAAAATGGGTTAGTATATTATCAATGGATGAAACAGCAAGGAGTAATTTGACTTCTGGTAGTATTGAGTGATCAGACCTTGAAATCCCATGACTAATACAAAGTTTTTGCGGGTTGATGGCAGCCTTCTAGTTTTAGAAACTGATAAAGGGACTGTGCATAATTATATGTCTTTTCATCTAATTGTGATCTCTGGGATCTTAATTTGTTTACAGAAGACGGTCACCTTCTCCTTACTATAGTCGTGGAGGATATAGATCACGTTCCAGATCTCGATCATACTCACCTCGTAAGTTTTTGTCTTGATATATTATTTAGTTTATATATTGTGATAATATGGCTTGCCCTACCTAATTTGCCAAACCACAGCAGAGTAACTTTCTTATGCAGAAAAGGGGTTCATTCAAGTAGTTTCATGTACTAGAGGCCCAATGCACAAAATTTGTGCAAGAGTAGGCCTTCCTTCCCTCTGGCACCCGGGACCCAGGCTTCCCTCACAGCTCCGGCTTCGTCTGGAGGGGCATCCAGTCTAATTAGCACATTACACTTTTTTTATTATAGACTAGAGGCCCGGTGCACGAAATTTGTGCACAGGGTTGGGGGGATCCCTCAGCCTGGCCTGCAACCTCTCCAATCCAGGAGAGATGAGGCCTAAACCTGCAGTCAGACATCCCTCTCGCAATCTGGGACCACTGGCTCCTAACCACTCGCATGCCTGCATGCCTGCCAGCCTGATCACCCCTAACCACCTCTGCCTCAGCCCCTGCCACCAGGGCTTTGTCCAGAAGATGTCTGGTCTAATTAGCATATTATCCTTTTATTAGTATAGATAATCCCACAAACTTTATGTTTAGGGTTCCAGATGGTATGAAAAGAACCCTTGAAACCTAGTTTCTAATTAAAATAGTAAATATAGCCCTAGCTGGTTTGCCTCAGTGGATAGAGCATTGGCCTGTGGGCTGAAGGATCCTGGGCTCAATTCCGGTCAAGGGCACATGCACAGGTTGCAGTCTCGATCCCCAGTGCAAGAGGCAGCCAATCAATGATTCACTCATCATTGATGTCTATTTCTCCCTTTCCCTTCCTCTCTGAAATCAATAAGAAATACATTTATTTAAATAAAGTGTGTGTGTGTGTGTGTGTCTGTAGGTAGTCTCACCATTTGTAGCACTAGTGCTTGTAATTTTTGCACATCTTGGGAACATCTTTGTGACTTAACCTTACTTAGCTCAGGTTGATAATTACTTCCTAGTTATTTCTATTGTTTCACATTGATTCATTTCTAGAGACTCTTGTGTGAAAGTCTTCCTCTATTTTCACAGAAGAGAATCTGGTACATAGGAATGTCTGAATGACAGATCATTCTAAAATTCTCAGTAAAATATACTTGCTAATAAGTTCTCAGAATTAATGCCCCTTTTTTTCTCTCTTCAATTCCAGGTCGCTATTAAAGCATGAAGTGGAAGGCTTTCTGAAACCTACCTTAGAGTTTGGATATTGTTTGTGGACAATATTTTTTATTGTCTCCTGTTTAAAAAGTGAACAGTGCCTAGTGAAGTTAGGTGACTTTTACACCTTTTATGATGACTACTTTTGGTGGAGTTGAAATGCTGTTCTCATTCGCATTTGTGTAGTTCGGTGCTTTGTTCCAAGTTAAGTGTTTTCAGAAAAGTATGTTTTGCATGTATTTTTTTACAGTCTAAATTTTGACTGCTGAGAAGTTTTTATTGTACAAAACTTCATTTAAAGGGTTTTTCTACTGAATCCAGGGTATTCTGAAGATCGAAGCCTGTGTGTAAAATGCTACCAAATGGCAAAAAGCAACAATAAAGTTTGATTTTTACTTTTCTTTCTAACATCAGTGCTTAGCAGAATTGTTCAGACTAGGTTGTCAATAGTAAATTTGAAGACAAAAATGTCCATTTTCCTTTAGTCCATGGAACCTACCATACTTAATATACCTGCAACTAAATATTAAAAATTATGCTCTGTAACTCAGTACTGCTAGTATTAGAACTAATGATCTTTCAATACAGCAAATGCTTAATGCTTATACTAATGTGGATTTGTCAGCCTTTATGTAATCTGTATTATATAGCAGGGAAAGAGTGGCACAATGTATGGCTTAAAAAGGCTATTTCTCAATGATGGTATTTCAACTGGTTATCAGCAAGTGACAATACATTCCACCACAAGTGTGCTCTTGTTCTAGCTTTTAGACTATATGAAAGAAACTGGGTGCTTCAGAATTTGGAGAAAGAAACACTACTGTGTTGTGGATGAACTGAAGACTGCCTGTTCATTTTTTAAATATTATTTCAGGTCCTTTGCATACCAGAGGAGGCCCAATTTCACTCAAATGTTTTGAGAACTGTGTTAAATAAATGCAAATGAAAAGTAAAGTGCTGGTACAATTCAGTTTACAAAGATTTTATTTTAACCTAGGAGTAGTTACTTAACCAGAACGATCCTCTCTACTTGGGGGTTGGCATTGTATTAAATAACTAGTTTCACCCTTATTCTGAGAGTGTCTGAAATGCATGTTCTCAGTATTGTTTCTTCCGAATTTTATGCAAATGGCCAATTCTGTAGAAATTGCTATAGGTAGGCTATTTTGTTGGCCTGCTGATCTTTTTTTTAAATTGATTTGAGAGAGGGGAAGGGAAATGGATATGCAGAGTAAAACATCAATCAGCTGCCTCCTGCACATCCCCCACCAGGGAATGAGTTCACAACCTTCGGCATGTGCCCTGATCAGGAATTGAACCAATGGCCTTTTGGTTTATGGGTCGACACTCAACCACTGCTGGGCAGTCTGCTGATCTTTATATAGTACAGGCATATCAGAGGTTGGATTTATTTTCCCAGTGCATAACAAAGTCATGTTTACAGTACACTGTGATCTTATAAAGTGCAATAGCATTGTCTTAGAAAAATAACGTACACGCCGCCCTAGCCAGGTTGGCTCAGTGGATAGAGCATCAGTCTGCAGGCTGAAGGGTCTGGGTTCGATTCTGGTCAAGGGCACATGCTAGGGTTTCGGTCTCCGTCCCCAGTAGGGGTCGTGCAGGAGGCAACCAGTCAAAGATTCTCATCATTGATGTTTCTATTTCCCTCTCCCTTCCTCTCTGAAAATCAATAAAAATATTTTCTTAAAAATGTACATGCCTTAATACTTTATTGCTTATAAAAAAGGCTAACCACCTCAACCTTCAAGTCTATCTTTTTGCTGGTGGTGGGTCTGCTTTGATTTTTTTGAAAACTCAGTTTCTGCAAAATGCTGTAAAAAGGGTATGCCTATATTTCTAGTATGTCCAATGTACATTACAAAGCACTTGACATATTCATTTAGTCTGTAGCAATCATAATGTATTTACCTTTAGTCAAACATCTGTTAAAGGTCCAGTGCCAGGATCAGAACATAGGCAATCTCAGTCCACAGTACTCATAATTATGATGCCATTCTGCCTCTAATCTGATTAAAAATATAGTTAATGTTTGTAAATTCTGTTACATAAAGAAAACACGCCTCAAAATGAAGTCATTCCCATTAATCGGTATTTAAACTTCACAAGGCTTGGGAAATTCTGAATTAGGCAAAGTTTTGCCCAGGATAAATAGGATTTTATTTATGTCATAAAAACTTTATAGAATGAGTTTTTGAGGATGAATGGGACTGGATTTATCAATGGAGTGCACACATCAGCAATTTGCTTTGGTCAACCAGCTATGGTCTGTCTGGATTCTATAACCAAAAACCTAGACCTCGTGAACATAGGCCTCACATAGTAGAGGAATTAAACTTCAAAACCTGGCTATCCTCAAATGTGCTTCTTAAAACAGCTTAAATCAACTGGCATTGATTTTTATTATTTACAATCAAGAATCTTCATTGATGCTCTGGCTAATAGGTCCCAAGTTTGAATCCTGGTCAAGGGCACATACCTGGGTTGCAGGTTTGATCCCCACCCCTGGTCAGGGTGCTTTTGGGAGGCAATCGATGTGTCTCATTGATGTTCTCTCTATCCCTCCCACTCTCCCAAATATGGAAAAAGTATCCTCAGGTGAGAAGTAGTAAAAGAAATCTTCATTGATACATTTGTGATGCCTAATTGGTAGCTATCTTTCTAGTCTGAATTCATGTCCCCTACAATCCATTCTCCACTGAGCAGTGAAATTGTCTTAAATAGTAAATCACATCTTTGCTTTCAAATCCTTCAGTCCCTTCCTCATGCATTTAGGTATAAATCCAAACATTGTTTAGTGACCTGCCAGACCCTTCACTGTCTAGCTAACCTTCACCTCATTAAGTCTCTCCCCAGACTCATCTTGCAATTTTATTTTCTTTTGAGTACTAGAACCAGAAGTTTCCTGGGTTTAATAACCTGGAGAGTAGTATTCCCAATAATACGGCACATGGGGAAGAGGCAAGATGGAGACAACTTGGAACTGGGTGCTTCTACTACAGAAGCTTGAGACCAATTCCTTATGTTGCTTACTGCCTGCTTGGCTTTTATTACAACAATTGGTTTTAAAACATGCTTATTAAAGCTAATATGAGCTCAAATCTAATGGCATCCACAGACAGGTACTATTCTAGTATGGGAGATAGTCATGATTGGGGGTCTTCGAGCATGTGGGATGGGATTTTATTAAGGCTAAAAAGGTTATCAGATTCATAGGATAAATACATTGTCTTTTCCCTGAAAAGGTAGTTCCTGGTAATATAAAGAGGATTATCTTAAAATTACATTTGTACTGTGTATTATAATTCTTGTTGGCTCAGGCTAAATGTGTTAATTGAATGACTTATGGTTTCCAGTTCAGCATGTAAGGAGCTTGGAAATCGCCATTCCAATCCTATCAACAAACTGAAAAATTAACAGCTCTTTTTAAATCCGTAAGAGGTGAGGTCGCAGGACAAACCACTAACCCCCTAAATTAGAGACCAAAATTGAATCACAACTTACTGGAGCAGAAACCCATAAGCATAAATCTAAAGAACCATTTTCAGGGTAGGAAAAACTAAATTGAGTTGTTGGTGGAGGCTCAGTCTGGTGATAATACTAGTAAAAAATTAGATCATTTCAGGAGATTGATAATAAAAGAAGTTAAATACCAGAGAATTTGGAGGGAATAAAATTAAGGTACAGTACAAATAAAGGTCATAAGCATTATGGTTGTTAGAAAACCCCTTTGTATCTCCCCTTGAATTTACAACTGGGGGGACATCTATAATCCAACAGTTTCTTCTCTCAACACACGAGAGGTCCACATATTTGTATATCTAAAAGTGGACATATTGGAATGCATGGGGGCAGCAGGACAGGGAAGGTGCCCACAGAATTCCCTGGCCACCTAGGCCCCAGATAAGGCGGTAGCAGTGAAATAGTTGGGATGCAGCCTCACACTACAACCCAGCAGAGAGTAAGGGTTTCTACTGTAGGCACCAAGAATCAAGCTCCCTAATCCCCCCCTGCTCCCTGACACACACACCCCCCCCCTGAAGACTAGGTAGACCACAGCGCTGCCTATTCCTCTCATCCTCACCCACTACATCCTCAACCAGGGGGGTGGTGCCGTGAGATCTAGTCAACCAAGATACAGGAGGGATACCCACCACCCTGGTCACCTAGGCAGCAATCCCCAGGGCCTCAGCAACACCCCACCACAACCACTACTGTAGCTCCAAAGAACAAGTAGTGCAGGTGGGGGGAAAAATTGTGCTATAGCACCATCTACTGGGGAAAAAAAGCCTATCAACCTGCTGAACTGTTAAGATAAAAATGATACTAGATATGACTCAGGTGTAAAAGAGAACTAAGATTTTTTTTTTAATGCAGGAATTCTATGAGAACTATCTGATTCCATTAGAATGAGCAACAGAAGGATAATGAATGGGTATCCCAGAAGAAGAGAGGGAGAAAGGAACAGAGAACCCATTCAAAGAAATAATTGAAGGGAACTTCCCAAACCTAAGGAAGAAACTAGTACTAGTACATTCAAGAAGCTAACAGAACATCATATTAAAACTCAAAAATTAATGGTAAGCAAAAAAATTTCAAGGCGTCTAGGGAGAAAAGACAGTAACCTATGAAGGAGCTTTATTAGATTATAATCATATTTCTCAGCAGAAACTCTACATCATCAAGAAAAGAGAAGTGTTAGAAAAGGAAACGCTTGTAACTCTTGGTGGGAATGTAAGTTGGTTTAGCTGCTATGGAAAACAATATGGAGGTACTTTAAAACAATATAAATAGGATTGGCCGGCGTGACTCAGTGGTCGAACATCAGCTCATGAACTAGGAGGTCAATATTTTATTCCTGGTCAGGGCACATGCCCAGGTTTTGAGCTGGATCCCGAGTAAGGGGCATGCTGGAGGCAGCTGATCAATATTTCTCTCTCATGGATGTTTCTATCTCTCTATTCTCTTTCCCTTACTCTCTGTAAAAGAAAAGAACAAAACTAGAGGCATCACATTTCAAATTATATTACAAAGCTACATTAATCAAAACATTATGGTATTAAACAACAGTGGAACAGAATAAAGAGCCCAAAAATAAACCCACACATATATAGTCAACTAATCTTTGCGCCAAGAATACACAATGCCAAGTCAACTAACAATGGTGCCAAGAATAGACAATGGAGAAAAGATAGTCTCTTCAAAAAATAGTGTTGGAGCCGAAACCGGTTTGGCTCAGTGGATAGAGCGTCGGCCTGCAGACTGAAAGGTCCCAGGTTCGATTCCGCTTAAGGGCATGTACTGGGTTGCGGGCACATCCCCAGTGGGAGATGTGCAGGAAGCAGCTGATCGATGTTTCTCTCTCATCAATGTTTCTAACTCTATCCCTCTCCCTTCCTCTCTGTAAAAAATCAATAAAATATATTTTTTAAAAAATTTAAAAAAAATAGTGTTGGAAAAAGTGGATCTACACATCCAGAAAAATGAAATTGGACCTTTATACCATAAACCAGTGGTTCTCAACCTTGGCTGCACATTAGAATCACTTGGGAATCTTTTTAAAATCCTGATTTCTGGGCCTCATCCTCCGGAAATTCTGTTTCTTTGTTACTAATGTTGTGGCCCCACCCCATAACAAAGAATCCAGAAATCAGGATTTTAAAAAAGATTCCCAGGTGATTCTAATGTGCAGCCACCAAGGTTGAGAACCACTGCCATAAACCAAACTCAACTCAAAATGGATTAAAGACTTAAATATACGACCTGAAACCACAAAACCCCTAGATGAAAACATAGGAAAAAAATTCCTTAAGAGAAGATTTAAAATGCAACAGAGTAAAAGGATGCTGCAAGGACATGCTCTCAGGAACAAACTGGAATTACAACTGAAATACGGAAAGGCTTCCTGAATAATCAACGGAAAACTCACAGGAGAGAACCCTGATACCCAAG